CTTTGCATATTTGAAATATTGGCTATCTCTAGCCCACTAATTATTACGGCTAACTCTAGCCCACTTCATTGTCTTTCCTCTTCTCTTTCTTTTCATTGTCTTTCCTCTTCTCTTTCTTTTTCATTCTCTTTCTTTTTTCTCTTTCTTTTTATTCTCTTTCTTTTCTTCATCATCTCTTTCTCCTCTTTCTTCTCTTTCTCCTTCTCTTTCTTTTTATTTCTCTCTTTCTTTTTTCTCTTTCTTTTTCTCTTTCTCCCTTAATTGGTGTGCCAGAGTAGTGGGCCAAAGTGGGCTGCTTCTATACTACTTTCATATCAGTCATTTGGCACTGTTGAGTGTCTTCGATCTGCCTGATGAATGGCTTCTTGTTCTTGGTGACTTTTTCTATGGTCAGAAAAATGGTCGATGTTTTTGGTTTATTTGGCTCAATATCTCCATTGTTGGTGAAATTTTAAGGCATTATTGGATATTTTTGTTTAAAAATGGTCATTTTGAAACTTACAAATTGTACAGTTTAATATATGAAAAAGGATTCAAAAGTCAACTTTTATCCATGAATCAATGTTTTTGCCAAAAGTTTCGCTTTGTTGCCATCAATTTAGCGAATGCGTGGCTTTGGATTGTGCATTGTATTGCGATTACTTTTGGACCAATCTTAATCTTCGTTGTTAATTCTTCGAATCAACTACCTCAAACATCCATTCAGTTCATCTACAATAGTTTTTGGATTTTGGTCAATTACCTAGGAATAGTTTCTACTTTATATAACACGATATTACCCGGTGCTCTAGTAACAATTCATTTGTCTTACTTTTACTTCAAAGCTGCTCATGTCACCCAGACGGCAGAGGGTCTTGCGACTGAAAGAAGGCTTTTGAATAAGGTTGACTATCTGCATCATTATAAAGCTACTGTTAGTGAGATCATCCAATATCAAAATGAAATTGAAAAACTAAATGTAAACATAAGAAACTGGCTCATATTTCTGTACATCGGACTTTCGGCTGCTGCAGATTTTGGGATGTTCATTGCAATCTTTGTTCACATTGATCGATTTATGGACCTTTTCGTTGTAATTGTTACAAGCCTTGGCGTTGTAGCCATCGGAGCTTGTTCATACACCAATGGAGTTATATTAACGATGGTATAAAAGGATTTTTGTTTTGTTTTTTCGGTCTTTTAATTTGATTCAATTGCCTTTTATTAATAGATGAGCTCTTATTGTAAAAACCTAAGGAAGGCGACTAGATGTTTACAGTTGAGTGCAAGAGCTTTCATAAAGGTAATATTATTATAAAATGCTTCATATTTCCATAAAAAGACGGATAATTGAATCAACTCTGTATTTCCAGGGAACTGATTTACAAGATCGACTCTCAAGGACTGATATAGCGTTTACTATCGGTGAACTTCTGGATATGACTCCTCGAGTATTTGTAATTGTGAGTATCATCTGATTGGTTGCATTGGTTTATATTATTAGTTTAACTGATCTTTACCTTTCTACTTCCAGTATTTAATTGAAAATATTTGTCTAATTATGATGTTCAAAATAAACTTTAAATAAATTGATAAAAATTGTTCAACAACCTTCACATTGTCGCATTAATTAACTCAAAATGTACTGAAAATGTACTGAAAATTATATTCAGTCAAATGGAGGAATCCCTTATAAAATCTTGACAATGTCTCATTTATTAACTCTGAACGCATCGATTTTTATATCTAAATACAATGTATTATATTATCATCATTATGTTCAAAGTAAATTTCAAATAAATTGATAAAATTATTTAACAATCTTGACATTGTTGGATTAATTAACTCCGAACGCACTGAAAATTATACTAATAAATCGTAATGGAGGAGGTCAAATGGAGGAATCCCTACAGAATCCTCTTTGATGTGTTTTAATGAAGAGTTGAACTTCGCTCTGAAGGTGCTGAAAATGGTTATTTATCAAAGTATGAAGTATGGGATGCTACTTTTTCTGGTTAAATCAGACGAATCAATACTTTAAATTAATAATACTTTTCAAAGTATGATAATAAAATATTGAAATATCAATAATAATAGTCGAATTTATACAGCGATTCTCATTTTTATTTGAAAACTCAGAAATGTATTGTGCTGGTTGTCCTTTGATAATAGATCAATCTCATCTTCAGCAACTATCGATGGACTTATCGGCAAAATCGGGTCAAAAAGTAAATAAGATTTTTTAAATTAAAATCGCAATTAAGGTTCCCACTAAAGCTTTCAAATAAAGAGTATCAAAATTGTGCCTTTGTAAGTTAAGAATAGGAACTTTGTGGGTTTGCAAGAACATAAACTGAGTTCATTAGACCTTCTAACAAGTTTCTCCGAACAACAGTTTCGAGTAAATTGATGTCAAAGCTTGAATTTCGATTTGAGGTAATCATGCAAACATATTTTTTGATGAAACTTAATTTAAGGATATAACTTACGATGGCCAACCAGAAAATGCAATCATTTTGAGGAATAAAGTTTTTTATTTCTTGTAGAACAGATTAGTTCGATTTTCATTCAAACCTTTCTCATTCTGTGACCATAAGAGTTAGAGAGCTGAAACTTTGTATTCCTCGATAAAAACTGTTAGTGTACTTCATGGATTGAATAGTAGCCCATAATGCAATCTAATGTTTAATCAAAGAATGATGATTATATATGATGCCATTCGCGAAATATCGAGCAAAGTTTTAAGGCCAATGGCCAAAAATTGAGAGAAATGGTGATAAATTGAAAAAAGTGTTCAATCATGAATGTGTACCAACAATTTTTACCGAAGCATAATAAGTTTCAGTTCTCTCGCTCTTACAATCACAAAATGCGACTTGTTTAATTGAAATTTGGACTTGAATCGTTGTATAGAAACAGAAAATTTTATTTCTCGAAATAAGACCATTTTCTGGTTGGCCATCAATAAATACATAAGTAAATAAGTACCATGAATAAACCTGCTTCCATAACTCAACAAATGACCATTGAAGTTCAAACTTTAACCTCCATTTTCTCGAAAACTATCGGTCGGATAAAATATTTAATAGTACCATTGAACTCAGTCATTATACATCAACAAACCCATTAAGCCTCAACTCTTTACTCAAATATTCGAGTCTTTATGCAACACTTTATGCATTTCATTTGCAAGTTTAACCAGAAAATTGGTTTATTCATCAAGATTTGGATTGAAATGAGTTTATTTTGTTAAATAAGTTGTTTATTTGACATTTACAACCCGACAATCATGATCCGAATTTGCTAATGAAAATTTATTGTATTGCATTGAAATATTAATCAGTAGATTCAAATTAGTGAAGAAACGGTCAGTGTATGTGCGACCATTCTCGAAATATTGAAGGTCAAAGTTTTCCTGTTAATGGTCAAAATCAAGAGAACTGATGATAAATTGAAACTAATATTCAATTCATTATGTGAGCCAACAATTTTTGTGGACAAATAATAAGTTTCAGCGCTCTAATCCTCATGGTCACAGAATGCGGTCGGTTTGAATGAAAATCAAACTTGATCTAATGTACAAAAACAGAAAATGTTATGGCTCAAAATAAGTGCATTTTCTGGTTGGCCATCAGAAATAACATCCATATGTCAAGTTCA